AATGCATAGATATTTATAAGGTGTAAAAACAGCTTTAAAAATGCTGGAAATGTGGTTTTCAAATGGCAGCTTGCTATCAAATAGCATGCAGATGTTTCTAACTGACGATGAAGACTTGACAGATCATCCATCAAGAGTTAAACAGCATTTGATGTTATTTCGTGTGGAGATTTTTGGTCTTAAAACCCCTGTTTTTCTGAAGTTAGAGGGAAGTGACTTTAGTTGAAGGTTGCTTGTCATCCATTGTTTTTTATATTAGCTAGGCATTCTGTTAGTTTTGGTATGTTTTGTCGGGCCTCAAAGAAATATAGATAGTAAAATAAATAATTGTTTCTTAAAGGGGTCATATAATGTTGCTAAAAAGAACATTATGTTGTGTATTTGGTGTAATGAAATGTGTTTATGCAGTTTAAAGTTCACAAAACACATTATTTTCCACATACTGTACATTATTGTTTCTCCTCTATGCCCCACCTTTCTGAAACGCGTCAGTTTTTACAAAGCTCATCAGTCTGAAAAGCGAGGTGTGCTCTGATTGGCCAGCTATCCAGTGCGTTGTGATTGGCCGAATACCTCAAGCGTGTGACGGAAATGTTACACCCCTTAACATACTGTGATGCCCTGTCCGGCTGAAGCGACAATTCAAAAACATGAAAACCCATTACAAACGTGGCATTTGTTGCATCCAGTGGGGACATAATTATGGATTATAATGGCTTATACTGTCTTTTTACGCGTTGCGTTGCATCACGCCACGTAAACATAAAACCATGTCTGCATTTGTGATTGGAGAAATGACAAACAAGCGCTACTCTACACTGCTCAAAACTCACGTTTGAATCATCCACTGAGCCCCTGCAAATCCTTTAAATGAAAACGTACTTACAGTCTGTGAGTCAGAACAGCCGGCATTGTAATCTACTCTGATCAGGATCAGGAAACAGTCCTCCATAAAATGCGCTGCACACAAATGAATATTTGGGTTGAACTGTTCTGGAACAGTGTTGTAAATACAACTTAACCACTGATTTCTAGTCGTGTCCTCTTATGGAAGACCAAACAAAGTAGTTTCGCTTTCACAACGAAACACAGCGTCACACACAAGTGAGTGAGGCATAAGTGAGGCTAGAGTGAGTGGAGGAGCGTCCGGAGGGCTTGCGGCAACCATATGTGACGACCCCGGGCTGGACTCCACTTCGTCCATGGTGAAAGCCGATCCGGCGATCCACAGCGCAAAGTTGATGTATTTCCTCAGCGACCAGCACAGAACAGCTCTAGGCATAACGAAGCGGATATCGTCCTCTTTTGGAAAGCCAGACAAAGTAGTTTCGCTTTCACAACGAAACACAGCGCTTTTACGACATGGCGGCAGCAACAATACTACAGCGAGAATAAAAGTTATGCCTTCTTTCTTTGCGTGAACATTTGGTCGGCGTTATGCAAATCTTCCCACATCGTGACATAGACATGTCGGGGAGTGTTAGAACGAGCCGTTTTAGGTAGGCCTGGTTGACTCTTAACTTTTATAAAGAATATCTCTTTGGATTTGAGACTTTAGTCTTTGCAACTTTACAGATCTTCTTTATGCACCAAGAGCTTGTAACACTTCAAAGAGAAAGGAAAAATTGAAATAGCATCATATGACCCCTTTAAAGAGATCTCTCAAGGGTAACATGTACAGGTGAAAAGCAGCGGTCATAGTACTGAGCCTTGTAGTTATTTTTGCCAAATTGTGATCTTTGTGATATTTCTTGATTTACTGACTTATGCAATCTGCAATGTATGGTAGGGATGAGGCATTTGTGGCTCAATTTTACAAAGATTAGAAACAAAGAGAAGCCTTTCTTGCTGGATGCCCCTGTTTCCTAGACATGCCTTTTTAACAAGATTCCATCAATAGGTTTTGTTTGGTGAAATAGCAGTTGACTGCTTTCCGGCAACATATTCTTTATAACATACTTAATTCAGTATACCTATATGTTCACCATTTATTGCGAGCAGGTTCCAGGGGGTACACTAAAAGATTCTGATTTTGACCTGTGTGTTTAGGGCTGTCCCGTTGTATAGGCAGAATAGGCAGGTGCTGCGCATCCATTAGCAAGCAAATGAGTGACTATTTTAATACTATTAAACCATTATTTAGCCTGGCAGTCACTGCAAATGTGTCTATTTACAATGTAATTTTGCAGTGCTGAGTATTGTAGCTAATCTGTTTGTCTGTTAAATGGAATGGCCAATTAGAGGTGTTTATGTTACCGGTAGTAAATATCTGCTCAATAACCTTCAAAATGCTGAATGAGTTTCTGTTTAGGACTGGTTTACTAAGTTCTAAACATGTACAAATCCTCTTTTTATCTGTAACAAAGAATAAACACAATGTAAATAAGAGATTTGGGGCCAGATTACTAAACAAGGCAAATTTCAGTGAAAGCACAATTTCAAAAAACACCGATATGACTGGGAAAGCTCTGCTGGTGATCTATGACTGTGTGCAAATTAAAGAACACAAGGTGCAACATCTCATTTCTACAATGACCAATCTACCAAGTATGCTGCAAATTTGTGTAAGGTCACAAACAAGCAGAGCAGATTAAAAATAGCGTGGCTTGGCAAACAGTATGTTCGGATAATGCCTTTTTATCACTAATTTTTTACTGCGTGTTTGTTTTCTATCAAGTGTTAGAATTCATACTTATTGAAAATTTAATCGAACTGTCCCCAGATTTGTTCCCCAAATAATGTTTTTGTCTATCACATTAAAAATATTCATACTTAAAATATAAAAACACTGAAATGAGCTTAGTGCCACATCAGGGTCTAAGATCACATGTAGGACAGTGTCTACAAAACATTTTATAATTTATGTTTTCATATTAAAAATGTTGTGTAGAAACTATCCTGTGTTTCTTATTCAAAAGTTCCATTATCCATTAATCCCTTAATTAAACATGTTCAATAATCTCTAAAGTCACAATACAAAATAATAACCTGTAAACTAATTATGTACTACTGTTACACTTAAAGTACACTTTAAAATTAAACTTTTAGAAAGTAAGTAATTTTTGAGCAATGTTGCTGGGCAATGTTGTTGTCAACAGGCAAACAGGTGAGATACAGAGCCCATGACCGATCTGAAATATCCAGATAAACATTTTGTTGCCCATTCTCAGTGAGAAAGTGCACAAGCAACATTGCTCAAAAAAGTAGGCCAATTTAGTAAGTATTGAACTAGTACAATTACAAGTAAACTACTAGTATATTAATTTTAGTATAACTATTACATCAAATATATTTGGAAAATATACTTGAATATAAGTTTACTTAAACTTTAAGAGTAGGCCTACTTCATTTTTGTATGAAAACATAATTTGGAGAGAATCGCATTGTCCCTTTGGAGGAGTATTTAAATACTCAGAGCCTGTAATTAAAAAAATAAAAAAATGTAAAAAAAATGCATGCTGAGAATAATATATGTAGCAAGTTTGGTGATGGTAGGTAAAACTGTCCCCACTAGTTAGAAGGGCCACTACAACCTCAGCCTCCCACCACTCCCATATAACGACTGACAACTCTTTGTTTCTGATACTGTTTAGAAGTTTTAAACCTCAGTGAATCAGGTGGTTTACTCAATTGAGGGTCTTATCTCATCTGTCTCTCACTAGGTCAGGTCCTCTGTGTAGACCACAAAACAAAAGGGATTGTCCACAGAGAGAGAAAGAGGTAAAAGCTGTGCATCACTGTGGAAACAGGATGAAAAAAATGAAAGAGATTTGATACTGCTGTGGTTCTTCATGCATGTTTGTTCTCAGACTGCTGCAAAATTCTCAAAGGAGCTCAAGGCTAAGGAAGGAAACAGCCACCAGCAGATGCGCCATTTCGGTCCACAGCACACTAGACAAAGATGAAAAAAGTGAAAGAATAGAGAAGAGGAAAAAGGAACCATATGAAATGGTTAACATACACCCACACACAGATTCTCAATGTCTTTAGTTCCTGACACTCACGTGACGCGGGTATATCCGCTGTCTATACTACAGACAGGTCACACTGAAGCCTGCAGCTGCATAAAGTGTGGTTCAATGAATAAGGAGGCATGATGACATCCAGTAAAAACGTTAAAGCACCTTTAAAACAGCTGAGCAGCCTGGACAGCTACATAATCGACAACTCTCAAAAGAAGAAAAACATACTGTGGCGACGACGTTCATTCAACAGTGCCAAAAATTTGAATACTGAAGAGATCAAAGATGGGACATTATCACGCAGTAAGGTGGGACAATCATTCATATAATTTTATATTATATCTGTTTCGATGGCAACATGAATGCTGAGAGGTTATAATTATATAACTTGACAACTGTAACATTCATTTTGTCAAAATATTCTAAAGGAATGTTAATGGATTAGAAAAAAAAATCAAAACATTTTTCAAAACTTGGTCAGACATTAAACACATGCATTCGTGCAGGATCCTTGCAGTTTTTCAGAATTTCAGATGGTTTCTCATTAGTAGATTATTGATTTAATCTGAGAATTACTCTTTTGCAGCTGCACAGAACACACTCTACATCTCTAGTGGATTATACTGATCCTCAGAGGTAAGACTGATTTACTGATTCACTTCATTGTGAATATCTGATGTCCCTCATTCAAATTTTCAATGCATATTTCTCCTGTTTTGCACAGAACAATGGTTATACTGGAGAAACAAGACAATGAAGCTTTTGGATTCGAAGTTCAGGTATGTTTTATATTCATAACCAATGCTTCACGTGGCATCAAATGCATTTTATTTATTTATTTATTTCACAAGTGCAATTTCACATTAATAAGTAAACTTTGGTCTCATGAAGTATATGTAGGTTAATTTCTGAATTTCATTGCTATAGCAATATACCACAGACATTATTTGCAAACAAATTACTTTCAGAGAACAAACTTCTTTTTGCAGTGGCACTTTTATCTAGTGTGTCAATGATTTTTTTTAGTGTGCAAAATTCTCAAAGGAGCTCAAGGCTAAGGAAGGAAACAGCCACCAGCAGATGCGCCATTTCGGTCCACAGCACACTAGACAAAGATGAAAAAAGTGAAAGAATAGAGAAGAGGAAAAAGGAACCATATGAAATGGTTAACATACACCCACACACAGATTCTCAATGTCTTTAGTTCCTGACACTCACGTGACGCGGGTATATCCGCTGTCTATACTACAGACAGGTCACACTGAAGCCTGCAGCTGCATAAAGTGTGGTTCAATGAATAAGGAGGCATGATGACATCCAGTAAAAACGTTAAAGCACCTTTAAAACAGCTGAGCAGCCTGGACAGCTACATAATCGACAACTCTCAAAAGAAGAAAAACATACTGTGGCGACGACGTTCATTCAACAGTGCCAAAAATTTGAATACTGAAGAGATCAAAGATGGGACATTATCACGCAGTAAGGTGGGACAATCATTCATATAATTTTATATTATATCTGTTTCGATGGCAACATGAATGCTGAGAGGTTATAATTATATAACTTGACAACTGTAACATTCATTTTGTCAAAATATTCTAAAGGAATGTTAATGGATTAGAAAAAAAAATCAAAACATTTTTCAAAACTTGGTCAGACATTAAACACATGCATTCGTGCAGGATCCTTGCAGTTTTTCAGAATTTCAGATGGTTTCTCATTAGTAGATTATTGATTTAATCTGAGAATTACTCTTTTGCAGCTGCACAGAACACACTCTACATCTCTAGTGGATTATACTGATCCTCAGAGGTAAGACTGATTTACTGATTCACTTCATTGTGAATATCTGATGTCCCTCATTCAAATTTTCAATGCATATTTCTCCTGTTTTGCACAGAACAATGGTTATACTGGAGAAACAAGACAATGAAGCTTTTGGATTCGAAGTTCAGGTATGTTTTATATTCATAACCAATGCTTCACGTGGCATCAAATGCATTTTATTTATTTATTTATTTCACAAGTGCAATTTCACATTAATAAGTAAACTTTGGTCTCATGAAGTATATGTAGGTTAATTTCTGAATTTCATTGCTATAGCAATATACCACAGACATTATTTGCAAACAAATTACTTTCAGAGAACAAACTTCTTTTTGCAGTGGCACTTTTATCTAGTGTGTCAATGATTTTTTTTAGTGGATGTATAAAGTTCACATATTGTGTTCTAGCAGAAAAAAAATCACAGGTGTTTCATCATTACATTAGTCATCATTAACTGTGGACCTGATCCGCTAACTTAATGCTAAGACAAAATCCTCCTCTCTGCATTTTGAATGTTATATATTGTTTTGTTTTTCAATATGTATATTTTGTGTCTAAATTCAGTCCATATACATTTTGGGGCCATTGCACTTACACAACCCCAAGCAATATAACAGGCTCATTTTAAATGCTCCATTGGGATTTATGTCTCTCTGTGCAGACGTATGGTCTAAAGGTGAAGAACAGCAGTATGGTGGAGATGTGTACATTTGTTTGCAGTGTGCAGGATGGCAGTGCAGCTGAAACTGCGGGTTTGACTGCTGGTGAGCAGGTTTTCCGCTTCCTCTTCTTAGAGTGTTACTCACTCCACCCATCTGACCTGACCCTCTTTACATGGCACTTTCCCACAAGCTGTCTACATTTAACACAGACGATGCATTGCTCTATTTGGTCTTTATGGACGCTTATTTAATGCTCTCTCATATATATACATTTTTCTAATAGATAGCATTACAATCTGTCTGACCATTACAATTTAAATGCAATGCATTAATATTTCCTGAGGTTATAATGATAATAAGTTATAATGTTAATAAGACTTTTTTAAACATCAAAACAGTCATAATTTAAAAATAATTGGTATTTTTTTACCTTGTTTTGGACCCTCTGATTTAAACAGTCATTAAAATGACTCTCTTTTAAGACTTCACTCTTGTGATTCCATATTACATGTGAAACTGTCATGAAAAGTGTTGCTTACAGCATTACATTCACTACTCCCATTGCATGAAAGTTTGCAGTGCTGAGCACTGTGTCCATGTGAGTGCATTACATCTGCATGGGTTTCTGTTTGTGCATGTGTGTGTGATGTGACGTGATTGGCAGCTCTTTATTTATTTATTTTTAATCTCTCTCTCTCTCTTTGATAGGTGACATTATATTGTCAGTAAATGGAGTCAGTATTGAGGGATCTACCCACCAGCACATTATTGAGTTGATTCGAGAATCCACTAACATGCTGAAGTGAGTATAAGTATCAGAAATAGGATGTTTGTGCTATGGTCACGAATGATGCCTCAAATAATGCAGCTTGTTAAGAAGATATGTACTATTTAGCGACTATCAGACTAATGGAAGATAAAATAGATGGAAAACAAATTCCTAGGAAAACCTGGGTCCAGCTGCACAAATACCTAGTATTTGTGAGTATAGTTAGAATCTACTTTAACAGGATAAACTGAAATTCATGACATTTCAACACAACTTCTGCTCACAAATTTGTGGGCTGCTATTGGATCACTGAAGGTAAAAATCATATTATGCACACACACTTTACAGAGAGCTTGCAACCTACTAGCTACGGCAAATGTAGGTCAGCTGTGATGTAACCAAAATTAATTTAAAAAAAGTTACAAACTAGCTAGTATTTACTAACTCTCTACTGAGGAGTTTGCATTCAATTTTAATAAGAACTTACAAATGGCTGGTGCAACCCTGATCCATATCTAGAGACATAAATATCACTAAAACAAGAACTATTTTGACTTGCCAATGACTGGTTTGTGCAGCACACTCTACACTCTTAAAAATAAAGGTGCTTCAAAAGGTTCTTCACAGCGATGCCATAGAAGAACCATTTTTGGTTCCACAAAGAACCATTCAGTCAAAGGTTCTTAAAAGAACCATCTCTTTCTTACCTTTTTATAATCTGAAGAACCTTTTTTCACCACAAAGAACCTTTTGTGAAACAGAAAGGTTCTTCAGATGTTAAAGGTTCTTTATGGAACCATTTAGACAAAAAGGTTCTTCTATGGCATCGTGAAGCACCTTTATTTTTAAGAGTGTAGCAACCAACAATTAACAAATTAAACAATTTGTTTATATTTTGTGTGGGTCTGATGTAACTAATGCAACAGAACTGTCAAAAGGAAATAAAATGAAGAAACAAATAAATACCTTTTGACCATTTTTTGTGTGAAGGTTGGAGACGGTCAGTGGGAATGTTGTGAAGAGAATTGAATTAGAGAAAAAGATGCGCTATCTTAAGGTGCGTATTTGTGCATGATTGTGTGTGTTTACCACTTGTACACAAAGCTGCAACTTTACTCAGAAAGAAGTCTCAGGCAGTCTTTATTGTATAGTGTATGTGTTTCCATGAATGCTGAAACATCTAAATGAATGCTGATCAACATACTGTACATACACGTTTACCAGAATGACTCATAGATGCTGATCTTGTTTCTGTGTTTCCCCTCTGCACAGCAAACTCTTCGTGAGAAATGGGTGGAACTACAATCGCTCACACTTCAGGAAAAGCGTCTTACTCGAGGTGCGAAACCCCCCCCCCCCCCAAAAAAACTGTATGATACAACAGATGTTCAGACAGTTAGAGGCCACTGTCTGACAGAGAAGTGTATATCTCCCTGAGAGAGTTACAGTTGGATTTACAACATGGATTTGAAACAAATTAATTTACATGAATAATGCACAAATGATAAATGTTTAAAGGTTTACATCCCCTTGGTTCTTTTTATGATGTTGCTTCCTCAGTGATTATCAACAGTTTGTATGGTTTGTGATAGCTGTGCATGAGCTCCTGTTATATTTTGAAGCTGTTTAACAAAAGCGGTTTAAAGAAAGTTGTTAAGAAACCCTCACTGTGCCCATCTGTGTCCTTTGTCTGATACTCTGATGCTGAACAGGCTAATGTTTTAGCTGATGGTGAATAACTCAGGTGTCTTTATCTGTGTTCCAGGTAATCTGAATGAGAGCGCTCAGCATCTGTCTGTTGACTCTCTGCTGTCTCTCTCATCTCCAACTGGCCGCTCTGGGCAGCGGTTTTCCAGTGACAGCAGTTGCCGCAGCATAATGACAGATGATAGTGAGGATGGAGCCTTCATGTCATCAGTATTTGATGACTCAAGTCCATTCAGCCCAACTGAGTCAAACGGAGGCTTCTTCCGGCTGGAAGGGGGAGCTTTGCGACCCCTGACAAGAACACGCAGCATTAGTCTGACCAGCAGTAGCAGTTCACTCTCTCTGAGTTGGGAAAATTCATCTTCATCCATGTTTGGGACGCTGCCAAGGAAAGGCAGAAAAAGTAGTGTCCGCAAGCACCTTCTAAAGTTCATACCTGGACTGAATCACTCCGTAGAGGAAGAAGAGGGTAACTAAAACATAATTTCTACCACCACTGACTGCTGACCTGATGAATCCTTGGGCGGTGGGAGATTCATACTAGTTTGAACTCTTCTGTTCTCAAAACGTACTAGATGCCATACATGCCATACAAGAACTTATGGGCATTCATGACTTTCTTGCTTAAAGTGCTGATGAAAAGAAAGGTCGAGTCTCACATGAGCATTACGGACTGCATGGCAGCAATCTCTGTATTATTTTCTGCCTTTTTTTTTCTTTTTTTTTCTCAAGGGACCGAAGCATTATGACTTTTCCCAAGAAATAAACAACTGGCATTAACCAAACCTTGGAAAGTGTATGCTGAAAAGCAAATGCATTGAGAGAATTGTGCACATTGCCTCCACTGCTCTATTTGAGTGGTTTAGATTTCAGACCCGCAAGCTCATGAATGTGCCCTAGCTCCCCCTTGATCTTGTAACTAATCAAGATCTCATGGTCTCATATCTGATATCTGTATCTCATATCTATAGATCTCATATCTGTTGTAGCATGCAAATGTGAGGGGGCTTAGTGGTTGAAGAGATAGGGGTGGGAGAAAGCTCTAACTCTGCACAGGCTTGTTGCTTCTGAATGTTAAGTATGTACCTTGCTGCACTCCAAAATGTCTTAGACTTAACACAATTCAAGCGTTTGTTATACATTTGCAGTCTTTCTTCAAAAGCCAATTTTCTAATTTAGATTAACTACAGTCTTGATGAAGCGAGAATCTGAAAAGAATAGGCTACCTGAATATTAACATATCTGGTTTACTAGTATTCGTCATAGAATGCTCTGAACCCATTAATTTAAATGGGGATGTTGCATTGCAAGACATTTGAAGGTAACAAGACATTTGAATGAATATTATGTATACCCATGGGGTCCTTGGGAATATGTTTATGCAAAATATGTTTGTGGCTCAAGTGTCAAATGACAAGTAACCATTATGATTCGTTATGCCTGCAAGCTTACTCTGCCTAGTAACCAGATTTTACAGGTACTTGTAGGTTTAGGGTTGAGGTTAAAGCATCTTGCATTCATCTTGCAAACTTAATGCATTCTTATCGATCGTAGTTAAATGTTAAGGTCCAACAAATGTTAAGGTTTGACAGTGTTGTTTCAGGACCAACAAAATATTTTCTGCTTGTCAAAATCCACCAGGCTCTCACCAAAAACAGAGACAGTGAAATTACACAACAATTGAATAATGTACAAAATCATTTTGCTGCACATCAAAATCTCATAGAACAATTCATTGTATAGAATATTTAATAGTCAATTTAATTTATAGTCAATACTCTCAGAGTATAATTTTTTACTCTGTCAGAATTTAATCCTAATCTCAGATTAGTTTAGATCAAAACTGTAAATCATTGACTGCATGAAAAAAGACTGCTCTGTAGTGAGTGTGTAACATTAAGTGCTGACTTGAAAAGACTGTGATGACGAGAGACAGAGCTCCAAACCACAGCAGGTATAGAGAAATTCATAACAGGATGTGGTCTGATGGAGGTGCTACCATACCACCTTTTTTTCTTTCTTTCTTAAGTGATCCCTGTAACAGAAAGTTTTATTTAAAGTAAATTTAAATTTAATAATAACAATATGTATTAATAAATTATTAATATATTTAAACTAAATTTAAATATATTAATAATTTATTAATTGTATTCAATACATAATAAATGTGAAAACCAATGTTTGGCATGTGTTTCTTTATTTGTCTTTCTTGCTTTATTTTTTCATTTTTATTTATTTATTTACCTTAATGATCATATTGAGGGGGATATTCTCATAAAAAAAAAATAAAAAAAAATAAAAATCATATCTTGCTGTTGCTGCTTGTCACCTGCATACAACGCAGGAAATATGTGCTTGAAACAGAAAGACGCCCTCTAAACATGGTAAAATGAAACAAAAGAGAGAATAAAGAACCAAACTGATTTTTTAAAAGCATTATGTTGTCCTCATTTAGTTAGTTGGCAAGTGATTTTATTACAATCAATAATCGAATGACACATTTGCATTTTCACAGTTCTCTCATGTTTAAGGCCGGCGCAAGCTCAACTGCCACTCTAGGCAAAACACTGCTGTACCGCTCCCACTTTACATTCACAATTAAACACGATCTTTAACATGTGAAAGACTGGAGAATTTGTTTATTGATACAACTGCAATTAAATAAAAGCAGACATGTTTTCTGATTATTAGTATTTTTTCATACTGCAATGTAAAAAAACTAAAAATAAAATTCAACCACTAGTACAGGCGCAAATGCAAATTAAGTGTATGTACAGGTGGCAGGCCTGAAGTGGCCATCGGAAGATTTGGGAAAATTCCTGGTGAGCTGCTCGACATGAGCGCTGTTCGCGGAAAGCACAAGTCTTTGTAGCTCATTTTCAAAAAGAGATACATAAATCTGTTCGCCTACCTGCTCATGTTATATAATCTTTTGATGTTATATAATATTTAATATTTTGTAGTATTCTATTTTGACTTTGTAGCTGGACTCAAACCTCTTTTTAGTTGTGTTTGTGTCCATTACATTTAGACTGGTCTTTTAGGAACCAAATCAAATCAGTTCTAACATATCACAATTTTGTGCAGCCCCATTTATTTATTGGCAGTGGCTATAGTGTAACTATAGCAATAGACGCTATTTACATTAAGTGAAAATAGCATATTTTCTTAGCGATAGATGCTATTTACACTAAGTGCAAATAGCTATAGATTCTATTTACACGGTTATAATAGCAGGATTTTCAGCTATTTATATTACTTATTGCAAATAGTGGAAATTATCTGCACCTCAGTATTGTAGTACATTATAAAACAATATATTATATAAATTATATACATTATATAAACAATATAATGCAATAATAACTTATTGTGTAAATTTTAATTTTGATTCAAATTATTAAATGGATGCCACCTTATTGGACCAATAAAGCCCTCTCTACACTTAACCCTACCCGATACTTTAATTTCAACTTTTTGATTATTTCCTTCATTTTCATTGAAAATAAATGCTTTTCTGATGTGATTTGAAATTTGAAAAGAGAGAAAAAAGTTTGCCAAAAGGCGAATTAGTGTAAATAGTCTCTGCCAACAAGCCGGGCTATTTGCACTTAGTGTAAATAGACACTCCGTTATTTATTTTAATGTTATATTCAATACAGTTTAATGACTGTATGATTAACAAATTAATGGGTTTTTCAGCTGACCCCGAAGTGAACTGTTAAAGTTTTCACAAATCAGATTAGTGATGTTAGTAACCAAGGAAAGGGTCAGCGGACCCGTACTGAAACGTGAAAGTTTTCACAGATCAGAATATTGATGTTAGTGACCCAGGGAGGGGTCAGCTGAGCTGTAGTGAACTGTGAAAGTTTTCACAAATCAGAATAGTGATGTTAGTGACCCAGGGAAGGGTCAGTTGACCCGTACTGAACTGTGAAAGTTTTCACAATTCAGAATAGTGATGTTACTGACTCAGGAAGGGTCAACGGACCCGTAGTGAACTGTGAAAGTTTTCACAGATCAGAGTAGTGATGTTACTGACTCAGGGAAGGGTCAGCGGACCCGTAGTGAACTGTGAAAGTTTTCACAGATCAGAGTAGTGATGTTACTGACTCAGGAAGGGTCAACGGACCCGTAGTGAACTGTGAAAGTTTTCCCAGATCAGAATAGTGATGTACATGACTCAGGGAAGTGTCAGCTGACCCGTACTGAACTGTGAAAGCTTTTACAGATCAGAATATTGATGTTAGTGACCCAGGGAAGGGGCAGCTGACCCAAACTGAACTGTGAATGTTTTCACAGATCAGAATAGTGATGTACATGACTCAGGGAAGTGTCAGCTGACCCGTACTGAACTGTGAAAGCTTTTACAGATCAGAATATTGATGTTAGTGACCCAGGGAAGGGGCAGCTGACCCAAACTGAACTGTGAATGTTTTCACAGATCAGAATAGTGATGTACATGACTCAGGGAAGTGTCAGCTGACCCGTACTGAACTGTGAAAGCTTTTACAGATCAGAATATTGATGTTAGTGACCCAGGGAAGGGGCAGCTGACCCAAACTGAACTGTGAATGTTTTCACAGATCAGAATAGTGATGTACATGACTCAGGGAAGTGTCAGCTGACCCGTACTGAACTGTGAAAGTTTTCACAGATCAGAATAGTGATGTACATGACTCAGGGAAGTGTCAGCTGACCCGTACTGAACTGTGAAAGTTTTTACAGATCAGAATATTGATGATAGTGACCCAGGGAAGGGTCAGCTGACCCAAACTGAACTGTGAATGTTTTCACAGATCAGAATAGTGATGTTAGTAACTCAGGGAAGGGTCAGCTGACCCAAACTGAACTGTGAAAGTTTTCACAAATCAGAATACTTATTAACATCCGTCACATTCACCTCTCCTGAATTTCACTAATATCCTGACCAAAATGACGAAAATTGGTCCAACAGAACCAGATTTTCCACGAATCTCATTCGCAGTTCAACATGGTAAGTTACCTACTTGGAAGGTTAAGAAACGTCCAAGGTTGATCAAGTCTTAGACATTCTCAGAACAGTATGCTGCCTTGTACAACATACAATAATCTGGTCTATTACACTTAATGAAATTCATACATAGGCACATACCCTTTCACAGAAAGGTATCTCATGTAACAGGAAAATAAAATATTTAAAATAAAGAAAGAATTGATCCTGATCTCTTTGCTAATGATGGCCCCACTCTCTGAATGTAAAATGGCTTCTGTGCCATAGACTCAATCAAACGACTAACTTTTTTGACCACCCTTCCCGCACGGGTCCTAACACCCTGTGTGTCATGGATGCTGTTAGCATGAGAGTCATTCACAGTTTGTGAGTTAGGGCTATTATCAGGAGATTCAGTCTCTATGCCAGAAACTTCATCAGAATAACCCCCAACGACCTCATTTTCCCTGGGATCTTGTTCACAGACACTTCTTCGACCTTGGATTGAATGATCAGATTCCAAATCATCATCACCCACAGGTTCTTGACCTTCAACTTTGTCTGATACATCAAACACCCATGCCTTCATTCTACCTTCAGAACTCCCTTCTTCTGATAAATCAGACAACTCAGACAAACAAGACTTCGTCTCCATATTCTCAGCATTAGACTGAATGTCCTTGTCATCTTGAGGTGGTTCAATCGGGAGAAATCTGATGTCCAGAATTAAATTTCAATGCACCACTTTTGTTTTGCCATCCTTGTCAATCAGTTTGTATATGTGTGTTTGAAGGTTTCGATCCTTTACAATATAGACACTTGATTCCCACTTATCGGCAAGCTTTTTCTTTCCTCTTTCACTTTTGTTTGCAAGAAGCACTCGGTCTCCTATGTTCAAACATGTGCCCTTGACCTTCCGATTATAACCCTTAGCTTGCTTTTTCTGTTCTTTATCTGTGTGTTTCTGGGCAATGTGTGCAGCTTCATGGAGGTAAGACATAAGTGTTTTCGCATAACTGCCATGGTCAACAATCACAGGGTCATGCAGCACCTGTCCAAAAATGACATCAACAGGTAGCATTGGAATGCGACCAAACATTAACTGAAATGGGGCGTAACCCGTGGTCTCGTGTACTGTGGCGTTATAAGCAAATGTCAAAGTCTGTATCTGCTCGGGCCACTTGTGTTTCTCCTTAAGAGGCAAAGAACGAAGCATACTACCCAAGGTCCGATTGAACCGCTCTGTTCCACCGTTCCCCATCGGGTGGTACGCTGTAGTGTGCGACTTCTCAATACCTGCCAGCTTGAGCAGTTCTGCAATAAGGGTACTTTCAAAGTTGGTCCCTTGATCTAGTCGTTGTCGTCGACAGTGTGCTAAAGTTGAGTGCTCATGAGAATGGCATACCTCATACCTGGGAAAGAGCACGGTCAAGTAGACTGATAAGCATCTTCATGCAATTATCATCATTCTGTGGAAGAGATGGAGTATTGGCATTAACATTATCAGACGGCACAACCGGGAAACCACTAGCTGTGATCTCTGTAGGAGACTGAGTATGAGCTGTAGCATTTCGCATAGCAATGTTACGCTTAAATTTGACCGCCAACTGTTCCTTTTGCTCAGTCTGATATCTGTCGAGATGTTCTTGTACTTCACTCGCTGTCCACTTATCTGGTGCTTTCAAGCGGAAAATGGCCAACAAAGCTGGGTCCGGGCAATATTTGACAA